CACACCCGTTCTGCTTCTAGAATTCACTAGAATTCACGATTCTGGAAAGCCTTTCCCATGCCACCTCAGCTCAAAGTTCCCAGCTCTCTCCTTAGGCTCTCTCTGACCTTTCTTTCACATTCTTAGACTTCTTTCCTAAATTCTTATCAACTGTCTCTTTTGGACACCTGTTAATTCTCTGTTTCTGTCAACCCCAGACCCCTCCAGGATGTGTGGAATTCTTCCCATTACCCTGGCATCCTTCTCCCTTCCTGAAGATCAGTCAGGAGTCCCTTGTCCTCTGCTCCTCCTTCTGCACAGTGAGCATTCATCTTTCTTTTTGTTCTTTGATTGTATTGTTATGTAGCTCAGGCTGCCTCAACTCACAGTGGTTCTCTGGCCTCAGGTCTGTACCAGTATTCTCCTGACCTCAAATGTTCTGATTGTAACTACCTGGGGAATGAGAGAACTAAGTAAGTGAGACTGTAACACACACACACACACACTCACACACACTCACACTCACACACACACTCACACACACTCTCACACTCACACACACACACTCTCACACACACTCACACACTCACACACACTCTCACACACACTCACACACACACTCACACACTCACACACACACTCACACACACTCTCACACACTCACACACACACTCACACACACACACTCACACACACTCACACACTCACACACTCACACACTCTCACACACACTCTCACACACACTCACACTCACTCACACACACTCACACACTCACACTCACACACACTCTCACACACTCACACACACACACTCACACACACTCTCACACTCACACACACACACTCACACACACTCACACACACTCACACACACACACTCACACACACACTCACACACACACACTCTCACACTCACACACACACTCACACACACACTCACACTCACACACACTCACATACACACTCACACACACACTCACATACACACACACACACTCACACCCACTCACACACACACACTCACACACACTCACACACACACTACATGCTCACCTGAGATTCCTGGTGTTCACACTTGTCTTCAGTAAACAAAGTCCAGCTCACTTAAAGTGCAGGCCTGCTTGGGGCAGTCAGACTCCAGTCTTAGTGGGAAGTAGCCAGGTTTCCAGCTGAACACATAATGCTTCTACCACGTTAGACCAAAAGAGTAAGAAACTCCCTAATTACCCAACCTTATCCACTTCCTTCCCCGCCTCCAGCCAGTCCTAGTAATTTTATCTTGGCTACTAAAGTCCAAGCTTCTCTGTTGAAATCCCCTGCAACTTACTCCAGAGTTACTTCATTCTTCCCTTTGTGCTTCCGGAACCCAAATGATGTTTCCTTCCGCTCTGTGTGGCAGGACCTCTATAAGGTCATTGCTGAGAACTGTTGATCAGGGAGACAATGTCAGATCCTCCAGACCACTTCTGTTTTTGTTTGAGACAGGGTCTGACTCATTATCCCAGTCTGCCCTAGAACTCATAGAAATGCCCCTGCTTCAGCCATTTGAGCACTGTGAGTATAGGCATGAGCTACCACACCTGACTGGACCACTTCTTTAGAGGTCAGAAGCCAAGAGCATGTTCTAGAAGCAATGGTAGAAACCCAGAGTTTAAAACCCAGAGAGCTTAGGTTTGTTTGCAATAGCACATCCTTTCTTCTCTTCATGGTCTGGAGATGGTTTACATCAGCACATCTGAGAAGTGGAGTCAGATAAAAAGATGTGGGTTTAGGACTGGAAAGTGGGCTCAGCCCGTAAAGCCGTGCCATGGCCTGAGTTGTGTTCCAGGACCTATATGATAGAAATAGAGAATCAGCTCCTGCAAATCGTTCTCCAACTTCCGTACAAGTTCTGTAGCCTGGCTGACCTGGAGCTCACCATATGGATCAGGCTGACTTGGAACTCACAGATATCCACTTGCCTCTGCCTCCCAAGTCCTGGAATTAAAGGTGGGAACAGGGGCGGGTGGTACAGGCTAACAATCACTGTTTCTCAAGAGGATCTCAAGACATGCCAGAGTTACGCAGTGAGTTCTAGGCCAGTCTCGGTAATTTCAGTGAATGAGAATTTATCTCCAAATAAAAAGTAAATTTAGAGGGCTAGAGAGATGGCACAGTGATTAAGAGCACTGGTTGATCTTCCTGAGTTCAATCCCCAGCAAGCATATGGTGACTCACAACCATCTATAATGAGATCTGGTATTCTTTTCTGGCAGGCAGGTAGAATACTGTATACATAATAAATAAATCTTTAAAAAAATAAAGTAAGTTTCCTTTTTTTTTATTTTTTGAGACAGGGTTTCTCTGTACCTTGGGAGCCTGTCCTGGAACTAGCTCTTGTAGACCAGGCTGGCCTTGAACTCACAGAGATTCGCCTGCCTCTGCCTCCTGAGTGCTGGGATTAAAGGTGTGTTCCACCATCACCTGGCTTCCTTGATACTTTAAAAAAAAAAAAAAGCAAATTTGACCGGTTGTTGTTGGTACGAATCTTTAATCCCAGCACTTGGGAGGCATAGGCAAATGGATCTCAGTGAGTTTGAGGCCAGGCTGATCTACAAACTGAGTTCTGGGTCAGCCAGAGATGTTACATAGAGAAACCCTGCTCAAACAAACAAACAAAAACCTTACCACCACCACCAGAACATAAACTAATCAATTAATTAAATTTGGCTGATGATATAAGTACAGCATTTGCCCAGAATGTACAAGGTCCCAGGTTCAAGTCCCAGAGCTGTTTAATCCGAGTACGTACCTGTAATCCCAGCACTTAGGAAGTGGAGAGATCAGAAATTCAAGGTCATCCTCAGCTACGAAGTAATTCTGAGGCTAGCCCAGGCTACAAGAGACTGTCTGAAAATAAATAAATTAAGCCAGGTGGTGGTGGCACACTCCTTTAATCCCAGCATTTGGGAGGCAGAAGCAGGTGGATCTCAGTGAGTTCCAGGTCAGCCAGGACTGTTACATAGAGAAATCCTGTCTTGAAAAAAAAACAAACAAAAAATTTAAAAAAATGAATTAATCAAGGCACAACACTCAGGAGGCAGAGGCAGGTGGATCTCTGTGCTCAAGGATAGCCTGGTCTATGTAATGAGTTTCAGGACAGCCAGGTCTACATAGAGAAACCCTGTCTCATAAAGCCATACCAAAACAAAATAAAACCATAGATGCTTAAGTAGAACCAGGTTGTTGATTCCTGCTTGCAATCCCAGGTCTAATGAGTTAGAAGCAGTAGGCTTCCTGGCATTTTGAGGTCAGGAAGGGAACAGAGACTTTGTTTCAAACACAAATGATGACTTCTGTTTTGTGTTGTTTGGTGGGGCTCTTAATCAATGAGACTGGAGAGCTAGGGTGTGGCTCAACGGTACAATACCTAGGGTTCAGGTCCTAGCACCAAAAGGAAAGGGAAGGAACATGGAAGGAGGACCAGGCTTAGGGAGAGGGGTGGATGACAGCTTCCGTTTTGAAACACCAAGTTTGGGGCATATAGGTTTCCCAGCCTCTCCAGCTCATCTCTCTGATCCCTCCCTGTCAGCCTCCTCACACGGGACCCAGCTACTGTTTTCCGCCCATTTAATTTTTTTTTCATTTGTAAAGTCTGTTTATTTATTCTGTGTGTGTATGGCAGGAGAGTGAGGAACCTGCATGCCATAGTATAGATGGATCACTTGGGGGAGTGTCAAGAACTAAAGTCCTTAAAGTTGTAACAATGTAACAAGTTCCTTCACTGAATGCCTCCTTCCTCCATTCCTTCCTCTAAAGGGCCACCTTTGCCTTCTTCCTTCACAACCTTTCACGTCTGTTTCTAACAGAATTATTTACGTGTATGGGTGTTTTGTCTGCATGTATGTCTGTGCACTGTGTGCATGCCTGGTACCCTGGGAGGCCAGAAGAGGGTTTCAGGTACTTAATTGCCATGTGGGTGCTGGACATTGAACACAGATTCTCTGAAAGAGAAGCAAGTGCTCTTAACCACTGAGTCATTTCTGTAGCCCCGGTCTCTTCTGCCTTTTTTGAGTTGCAAAGTAGAAAAACCTATTTGATGTACTGGGGCCCTACTTCAGTTGATAAACCCAGGGGGCCTATTCCTATTTGATGTACTGGGGCCCTACTCCAGTTGATAAACCCAGGGGGCCTATTCTGGTCTCCTTCCTCTTTCAACCACATCCTACCCTCCCTCCTGTCTTCTGCAAGACTGGGAAGTGGGGAGAGAAGTGAGAAATCCGGGGCCCAGTGCAGACTCTGGGTTTGAGTTTGGCTTTTGTTTTGGTTTACTAGTCCACCACCCTCTAGAGCCGGAAGGCATGAGGAGATGGGGTGGAGAGGTGTGTCAGTTACAGTGTTTGGGCTGGATTCTGCGGTTGAAGAGGTACCCTCCAAGACACCAAGTGCCCCAAGACACAGGCCACTTGGGTCCTGACGAGAGAGTACGATAGCAGATCTGTAGATGGCACAGCCTCAGCCTCGGTGGGCTTGGATACAGGAGGCAGAAACCTGGTAGAAAACTCAGGTTCATACAGGACAAAGATCCGGAGTCAGTATATGAGGCCCATCCCTGCTTCCTCTGTCTGTTTTGTTGGTGTGGGTTCCTAATATAGTCAGAAAAGCCTGGGTTCTTTCCTTAGTCTGGGTATAGACCCCGCTCCCTAGAATCGCGAGAAACACGAACGGAATGGAAGACTCCTTTTCTGCGTTCTTAGCGCCGCCTTGTGGAGTTGTAGCGAATTCTCAACAGCCTCAGCTGCAGTCCCCGAGTGGAACTCGAAAGGATTTCCTCTGGCCAAGTTTACACTGACTAGGTTAGGACTGAGACTCCCAGCCCCCCCCCTTCCTCTCCCCTCCCCTCCCCCTCCCTCTGCTGGCTTTACACAACCACTTCCCAATCTCGTTTTCCCGTCCCCCTTCTAGGGTGTTGGGCTTTCTCACCCTAAGACACACCTTCTAAGCGATTTGCACCCAAAACAAGGACAGTCTGAGACCTGGGCGCAGAGGGCAAAACGAATCCAGACTTTATTTTCAAGGAGAAGGAAAAGGGGAGGGTGGAGGTGGAGTGGGCGCGGGGTTGCTACATTGTCAAGCAGAAAGAGTCCATAGGGAGGGGAGGGCCAGTGGGGGCCGGTCCCCATCCCAGGTCGGCGCTGGAAGGGCTGACCACACAGAAACCACAGAAGGGACAGGTTGGGGGTCACGCCCCCGCCCGAGTTGTGCAGTGGAAGTGTCACGGGAGGTGGCAGCCATGAGGTCTAGGGATTGGGATCAAGGAGGCTACAGACGGCAAATCCTGCGGAAAGGGGTGGGGCGAGGCGGGGGCGAGGCTTCTATTGCTTTTTGCTCACAGTTTTGCGGAAGGCGAGGCGGGGGTGGGCTTGGACTGGACACCCCTTGCCCCCCTTGATACCCCTTGGGCGATGGGTGCTGGTGAAAAGAATGGAACCCGGACTGGGGAGTAAGAAGGTGAGGGGAAGGGTCTATGAGGGCATCTCCTTGGTCCCACCCAAGTGCCTGAGACGCCCCCAAGTGCTTGCTGCCCCTGCTATGGGCCCGACTGGACCTGGGATGGGGCATGGTGCGGGGCGGGCACAGTGAGGTTGCAGGCGGTAAAACCAAAGTGCTTATGAGGGACCCAGGATCCCGCCTGCTCCCCTCCCCCTGCGGAGGAAGCGCTTTAGTTGGGGTGGGGGCCGGAGTCCCAGAGTCCGCTTATTGCCAAGAAAATCCATGTTCTCCCCCCGGGCCCGACCATGGCTTGTGAACCCCGTTTTGTGCTAGGTTTGGAGGGGAAGGGTTGGATGAACATGGCTTTTGGGAGGGGGTGTCTCCGAGGGGGCTCGGGGGTGAGACGGACCCCCTCTTTTCTAGGGGAGAGGCAAGGACAGGGGGCGGGGTTCCCTGAGATCTGGGGTGTTCCCCCCCTTCTTAAGCCCCCCTCCCCCGCTACCCCTCCCCTTTCCTGGAACCCCGTACCTCGGGGTGGGGGGAAGGACAGACCATTTAGGGAGCGCCAGGAGGAGGGGCGGGCTGGGAGCCCGAAGGCCTGGGTCCCGGCTGGAGGTGGGGGAATTCAATGGGAGGGGTTCAGGGTTGAGGTCAGTAAGGGGAGAAGAGGATGGGTCCGTGCGCAGTTCGAATGGGTCCCGGGGCCGGGTGGAGTAGAGGATGTGTGATCGGTGGTCCCTGCAGAAGAGGTGCGGCTGGAGCTGGGCGCAGGGACAGCGGGGAGCCTGCTGCAGCGGCCATCACCGCAGCCACCGCCAGGGGGCTGGGGAGCAGGCCACCGGCCAGGGACTTCGGCAGCTCCTTGGAGAAAGTCAGCGTGCCCTGCAACAGGCAGAGAGGGAGACAGAGGTCGGGTCAGTGGTCCGGCAAGCCCAACCTCTGCTGGCTTGCCCAGGTCCCTTTCCAACTCTCATGGGTCCCCCAACTCCCCAGCATCCAGGCCTCACCGCCAGCTCCGCAGCGCCCCTAGGCTTCTTGTGACGGCTCAGTAGAGGGTTGGGCTTCCCGGCCACGCCGTCTCGGTGCCTCCTGCTGGAGATGTGCTGCGATGCAGTGGGTAGTGGGGCTATGAGCTTTTAGCCAAGAGTAACCCCCACAGGCAGGGCCACAGCTAAGGCCATATTTCCTTCTGAGTGGCCCTTACCCAAGCTCCCTTCCCTTTAGTGGGTCAAATTCTTCAGACATCCTGGGATGGGTGTAGGACTCACTTGTTTCAGCTGGACCTCCGAATTGACCTTGACGTTGCAAATCTCACAGTGGAAGGTTCGGTCCTGGGAAGGAGCCTCTGGTTCCCCAGGAGTGGGAGGCCCCAGCCGAGGGTAAGCTTTGATGGGCCCCAGTCCACTTCGGGCCTCCAAAATTGTCTTGTGCTTAGTACCTGGTCCACAGCGGCAGGAGAGGAGGGCAGATGTAAATTTCTCCGCGTCTACCAGGCCTCTGCTGCCCACCTTCCCAGTCATAATGTGTGAATGAATGGGGTAAGTGAGGGATTTATTTGGAGCCCTTTGGGCCCCTCCCAAGCACAAGGGGGTCTGGGAGAAGGTGAAGGTGAATGAGGAAGCAAGAGACTAAGCAATAGGGGAGACGCGGGAAAGGAGACAGGCTGGAGGTCTCACAGGACCCAGACGCTAGAAGGCAGGGAAGTGGAGGCAGGGTGGGCTGTGGACAGGAGATGGCTGGAGGTCTTAGAGGACCCTTACCTTTGTTATGTGCCTCAAGCTGGGAGAGGGAGTTCACAGCCACCTTGCACAGAGCACAGTAGAGCAGACGCTTAGCCTTCTCCTCCTCTTCCTTGCTACCCCCAGGCAGGGAAGCTGGGGCTGGAGTTCCCCCTTCAGCCTTGGTTACACCCTGTCCAGACTCTGGAACACTGGGAGGGGATGGGGAGCCAGGCTGTTTCTCTGGGGATCCTGGAGCTGGACCCAGGCCATTCTCCATGGAAACTGTTGGGGAAGAAACATGGGGTCATCCCAAATGGCTCTTCATGTGCAGATCCACCCCCATTTCCTCAAGGGTAAGGGCCCAGAAGTCAGTCCCCACCCTGTTACAACATGCATGTCCTCATGCCCTGAGCCTCAGCCAAATTCCATTCAGCTGCCACTGGCTGGGTTGTGATCGCAATGCCTGGCTAACACACACGCCCGCTACCTTTAGTTACCCTAAAGTTTTCCCAGCCAGGGGGAAGTGCAGAGACTGACGATTCATCCCACTATGGCCTGCTGGCCAGCCTGGGATTCCTGTCAGGGCAACCCCTTCCCAAGCCCCTCTCCAACACTCAAGGAGAACACCAAGGAGCAAAAGGAAGGTGCAGAACTAGGAGGAGGGAAAGCCAGGAGACAGATGTAAGCAGAGCAGGGGGAAACAGAAACAAGACCCGAAGCGGGAAGAAGCAGGGATCCAGGCTGCTCTATAATTCATGGCTGATCAGAGATGCGCAGCCCGGGCCTCTGCACTTCAGGGGAAACTCTAGCCCTCCCGCTCCTGCTCCAACAGTGATCCATTTTCCGGGTCATGGGGAGGCTGTGGTGAGAGTAAGAGAAGGTGGAAGAATTCCGAACCCTGTAGGTATGTGCTTGTCCATCCTATGACCCATCCTTTGTGTCTCCTGCTCATTCAGCTCCTGTGTTCATCCCAAACCAGACAGCAATCCTTATCCCAAACTGGACAGGACATCATGGTTTATGAAAGCAGTATGCATACAATGTCTATCCCATGTCCTCGGGGAGGGTGCCAGGACTCAGTGAGGTGATGTGTAAAGCATCTACAACAGCAGCGGTCAGGAAGTGTTGGCTGTCGCTGTCACCAGCTCTTTCCATCCTTATCCCTATTTTATAAAGGTGTTAATACACTAACCCAAGATGATCAGACTCAGAAGCAGCCAGAACACAGTTAGAAATTAGGCCTGCTCCCTACATCTTTAAATGATAGAGGGTGTGCGCGCGTGTGTGAGTGTGTGTGTGATGTGCATGTGTGCGCGTGCATATATATGCGTGGCTACAGTGGAGATCTGGATCCCAAGCTGGTGATATAGAGGCCTGTTTCTCATTATTTTTAGGGTGGGGCAACAAGGACAGGCCAGAATAAGAGGAAATGAGGACAAGGGGAATGTTAGGTCTTTCTGGAGTTGGCTGTAACTGATATCTGTGGTAATCCCAGGGTGGGGTGGCTGATATCTCTCTGTCCCTGTATTTCCTCAGTCCCAGTTCTTTGGAAATATGGTTGACCAGCCATGAGGGGGAAAGAAATGCGGAAATGCGGCAAAGTTGAAAAAGACCTTAAAGATTTTCAAGTTTTTCTTTCTTAACTTGGCTCCAAGAAGTCCACACGTCCATCCAAAATCATTTAGGGAGTCTCGGAGCACACGGCCTCAGTCTCCAGGTAGGGCTCTGATGTCCCTATTCCCTTTGGCCTGCATAGAGGGGCTTCATCAGGAGTAGACGGATGGCTCCCTGTTCCTGGGGATACTTGCCAGGCAGCCTCACCCTAGGCCTGTGCTGAGCCACTGGGCAGTGGAGAGGACAGACAGTAGGGGCTTTGTTGAAAAGAGCTGAGGCAGGGGTGGGTGGGATGAGAGGACAGAATTTGACATCACTTTGCCTGGCTCCAGGACTCACCTTGGGTGTCAGTGGGAGTGAGTGGGGATTGAGGGAGGAGAGGAGCTGAGGGGGAGTTCTGGGAATCGGAAAGGAGCAGAAAGACAGATCAGTTGAGAAGTGTGAGGGGTTCAGACACACCTGGACGAGGGGCTACACCATCCCCACTTGGGGGGGTGTTGCCTGCTGGAGCTGGGTCTGTTGATTCCCGGACACTAGGCTCCCTGCCGCGGGTCTTGGCAGCCTCGATGCCTTTGACTCTTCGGGCATGGCGATTACCCTTGTAGTGTGCTTCAGCCTGGCTCTTCAAGGATGGAGGAAGAACATGGAGTCTGAGATCACCGTTCATCTGCTACATCCTACAGAGCTCCTTCAGGTCCCAGGGTGACCTCAGCAGGCTACAGTAGGCTCTGCCTACACCCCTGATGAGCGGAGCCCACACTGACACATCTGATGATGCTGTGGTTCAAGCTGAGTCCCTGGGAATACCGACCCCGACCTGGTCTAGCTACACTCTCCACTACACCCAGAACCTGGCTGATTAGCCTGAGTCGCAGGAGGAGACCCTGAAGCCTTCACGGGAACGGAGAACTGGTGAAAGTGGAACACGCAGCTAGCTGGCATCTCAGACACCAGGCCTAGAAGCCTGAGTTCTTCTGGACCCTGCTCTGCTGATTTTACTAGCTCTGTCCTGATAGTCCTCCTAGGCCTCATTTTCCCTGGAGCTCCGTGGACACCTTGGAGGACCCTGGACTGAAGCCCAGCTCTGGAGACAGGAGACAGCAGCAGAGACAGCTGTCAAAACAGAGACACTTTATAGGGGAGGGAAAGGGGGAGCAAAAAGAAGGGCGAGCTGCCCATTATTGGCTTTCTATCCCTCCAGTCTTATTCCCTCCACCGGTAAATGGAGTCAGAGTTGGGACAGAGGATGCCTGGAGTCTAAGCAATGAGGCCCAGTTTGGTTCTGGCTCTGCCCACCCACTGTCTGCCCATCCCCTCCTCTCCCATTTGTGCCACGGCTAAGAATGTATAGCCTTGGGGTAAAAAGGTCACCTAAACAGGGGTAGAAATAAAGGTGTGAATGAGCAAGAAAACAAAATTGACAGATTGGGCCTAGCAGCGCGGTGCCTGTGGTCCTGTGTGCCGCATAGAGAAACAGTGTTTTCTTTTCCCTACTCAGCAGAATAAGGCTGTTTTTCTCCTAAAACTTTTAGGGCTTGCACCCTATAAAGTCTGGACCCAAACAGAAATCCCGATGAAGCTTTAGAGGGAGGAAATCTCGGCGGATTCTCCTCATGGGCAAAGTCTAGGATGGTGTAGAGACTGACTTTGAGGGTGATTTGGAGGGAAGATAGCGAGAAAGGAGGTTCAGCAGATGCCAAAGAGGACCGAGGCTCTGTAAAGAGACCAAACTCAGCACCTAAGGATGGAAGGCCGCATGCCTGCATTGATTCTTGAGTTTCCAGGCGTTCTGAGTAGGGAATGCTCCAGCGCCAAGGGACAAAGGGGCCAGCCAGCCTTAGAGGATTTTTCTGCTTTCTGCCAGAACACACAGCAATGTCCAGGTCTGGTGGCACAGGTTTATAATCATAGCTACTTATGAGGCTGAGATAGAGGATTGAGAGCTCAAGGCCAGAATAAGCTAGAGGCCAGCCTGGGCAACTTTTTTTTTTTTTTTTTTTGATTTTTGAGACAGGGTTTCTCTGTAGCTTTGGAGCCTGTCCTGGAACTAGCTCTTGTAGACCAGGCTGGCCTCGAACAACTTCTAAAGTCATGTGTGGAAATTAAAAATATAAAAAGGAGTCAGAAGCTGGTCTGGGTGTAGTGGTGGCATTTGCTAGTGAGTTCCAAGACAATCAGGACTATGTAGAGTGACCCTGTCTCAAAAAAAAAAAAAAAAAAAAAAAGGCAGCCAGGTGGTGGCGCACGCCTTTAATCCCAGTATTTGGGAAGCAGAGGCAGGCAGATCTCTGTGAGTTTGAGGCCAGCCTGGTCTACAGAGCAAGTTCTAAGAATACACAAAGGAACCTTGTATTAAAAATAAAAGGGGGGGGGTTGAGGACACAGTGGTATAGCACTTGCCTTCTAATTCAATCCCTATCACCACACACACAACACACACACCAAGGGGGCTGGAGAGTCTGCTCAGGGGTTAAGAGGACTAACTGCTTTTCTAAAGCACCCACATGGCAGCTCACAACTCCAGTTCCAGGGGATCTGTTACCCTCACACAGACATGCATGCAGGCCAAACACCAGTGCACGTAAAATAAAAATAAACTGTTTAAAAAAAAAAAGCAACCGCCGGGCGGTGGTGGCGCACGCCTTTAATCCCAGCACTTGGGAGGCAGAGGCAGGCGGATCTCTGTGAGTTTGAGGCCAGCCCGGTCTACAAGAGCTAGTTCCAGGACCAGCACCAAAGCTACAGGGAAACCCTGTCTCGAAAAAACGAAAAAAAAAAAAAAAAAAAGCAACCAAAACATAGCAACCTATTGTCTTAAGTGTCTTCCACCACAGGGTCCCCATTCTTTGTTCTTTCTCAAGGCTCCTTTAGTCACTGCCCTCCCTCAAGCTCCCATGGCTGCCCCGCCCTACTCACCTGAGAATTGAATCGGATTTGACAGACATTACAGGAAATGACTGGCCTCTTGGTCTTGAGCAAGGGTCCTCCAAACGTGTGTGAGAGCACAGCCTTCTGTACAGGGTCCATCTGTGGATGTTGGGCAGGGTGGCTAGGACCAGAGCAAACTCATCTACCATCTCCCTTCCCCACACCACTGAGCCCTCCGCCTCAGGCCTCAACATGCTTAAGGCGCGGAGCCTCAGTTTTCTGGTTCTTTCCAGACCAATCTTCATAGCCCTGGAAGGGACCTGCTCCCATCTCACAGGAAGTAGAAGTGGTCTGTCCAAGGCCACACCATGGAAGTTAGACCTTGACTCTCGCTCTTGTTCACTACACCATCACGAAAGCTCACCTGTTACCTTGGCCTATCTCCTTCAATGAGGTCAACTGTCAAAAACCACTAACAGGCAGTCCCAAAGCATCAGAGGTTCTAGGGTTCCTGAGTCCCTTTGGCCTCACTCTGGGTACAACTAACTGTCTGCCAAGTTCAGCTTTTGGTCCCAAGAGATGGATGTTCTCAGTTTCCTGTCTCTGGACCCCACTTCACCCTAAAACCCCCCTTTTTTTTCGTTTTTCCTTTTATGGTTTCTCAAGACAGGGTTTCTCTTAGTACCTCTGGTTATCCTGGAGCTTGCTCTGTAGACCAGACTGACCTCCAACCCACAGAGATCCTCCTGCCTCTGTCTCCCAAGTGCTGGGATTAAAGGTGTGCACCACCAACCACCTGGTGGATCTCTGGATTTCTAAGTTAGCAGCTTCTAACAGGAATACAAGAACTCGGGAGAGAATTGGTGGTTCTACTGGTGGAGAACAGGGAAGAGGAGAATAGGAAGCGGTTTGGTCTGAGTGTGCTCAAGACCTCTGAACCCTTTTCTCCCTATTAGCATCAGCAGGACTTCAGGGCAGAGCTGATGGCTTGTAGGAATTGGGAACCCTCTCTGCTCACTCTGCCTTAACAGAGTGGCAGTCTCCAGCCAAGAGGACAGGAGTGCCTCTGAGGCCTCTTCTGTCAAGGGATACAGCTAGGGGCCCAGAGGCACAGGGAGGCGCCTCTGAGCAGTCCTCTTTCTTCACCCTGACGGCGGGAGGGGGGGGGGGGACGACGGGACGGACGGACACTGGAATGCAGCCAGGGCTGAAGAGATTAGGAATAGCTAGGAACTCTCAGAATTTTCCAAGGGGAGGGCATTAAGACATAGTTGCTGGTGACTCAGGGGTCCTTAGCAATTCACTTGAGTCTCTCTGTGCTCGGGTTTTAGGGTTTTCCATGAGACAAAGTGAGGGATAGAACAGGAATCTTCTCTCTGTCTCTCCCAGGAGTCTCTATAGCTGCTTGGAGTTACTATCAGGAAGGGGCTTCAGGGTCCTAGTGAAATGGGTGCTAACCTGTATCTGTTCCATTTTGGTAATAGTGGATGCTGGAGCCATAACTGAGTTCAGATAACCAGTGTGACAACTGTCAGTCTCTTGGCCTACTCTTGACCAGAAGCAGACCCTCTTAGCAGCTGTCTTCACCTTCCACAAACTTGTTGAAAGCCCCAGTCACATACAGGGAAAAAATCAAAGAGCGCGTCGTGTGTACATGCATTACATGCACGAGCATTAGACAGGCTTCGATCAGTTTGCGCGTGAGGTGTGATGAGTGCCACGCACTGTGTGTATCTCTTGAAGAGCAACAGCTCTGCACTGGGGGCCTTGCTGACACCGTGGACGGTCGGGTTGTGTGATCTTTAGCTGTGTGTTTATCTGTACAAATGTATGATACGTTTGGCAGAAAGAAAGACCAAATTGGAGGCAGGCTTTAATCCGAAAGGGGAGACAGAGTGCTGCTCCCAGCTTCTAGTCTCCACGCCTCAGTCCTTCCTTTTCAGAGACACCCCCACCCAGCTCTGCCCCAGGGTTCTCATGAGCCCTGGGCTTCCTCACATGCTGGGTGGGGAATGGGAATTCTGCCCAAACAGAAACCTAATCCAGGCCAGGAAACCTAAGTCGTACGACAACAGCAGGGAGAGAACAGGATGGAGAGGCGAGAGGAGTCGGTCTCCTGGTTCTGTCTGTACCATCATCCCAGTCAGCTCCCAGGAAGGTCTGGGGGCCCAGGACCCCAAGGATGAGTTGTTAACTGACTATCCCAGTCCCCATCTCCTAACAGTCTAGGTTCCAGTCAGGTCCCTCTTTAGGGGAGGGGAACAAGGAATTGAGGGAACCCGGGCAGCCTGCCCCACCCTCTCTTCTAGGGACTGAGGAGACAGCTGGCTGAAGGTGAAGGCTCAGGGCCCAATCCCCAAGAAGGTGGAATGTGAACCACTGAGGTGCTCCTCTAGACCAAGGTCAGGAGGCCCCGGTGACCTAGATGAAGGCTCCCTATGGGAGGGTGGAGGCCAGCATCTCCCAAGGCCCATTTCATCCCAGAGACCCTTCTTTAGGATGCTGGCCTAGACACAGCCTGGCAGACTCTCCCACCTGCCCTCCAACAGTGGTGAAGGGGACTGGATCCCTGAAGCTGGGGCAAAACGAATCAGGCAAGGAGGGAAGGGCAAGGAGGAGGGAAACCAGATCAGGAGCAGGAGGGGCCTACTACGATTAGGTTTCCCCTCACTGCTCTTTATCGGATGGAACCCACTACCCCTTGTTCAACCACCCAGTTCCCTATCCCACCCACCCCTCAAAATAAGACGACAAGGGAAAGGGGTGGAACGGCAGGGATGGAAAGACCTGAGCAGACAGGGTTGACACGGGAAAGAGGGAGCTGAGGGTGTCCGAAGAGCAGGTGGGGAAGGGCTGCTAGGGAAGAGGGCAAGGCTGGAGAAGAGAGGGCTGGGCAGCGTAGTGATCCGAGGGTAGGTGCAGGACCAGAGGCAAGTCTGCGATTTGGGGGATTCCAAGGACCTGGGAAGCAGAGGTTAGCCTGTCCAGCAAGGTGGCAGTAGTCGGGGGCGCCAGTTGGGCTCCAAAGATCGGTGAGGGCCGCGCCGCGTGGGGGATGGGCGACAGCGGAGGACTGGGCGAGAGAAGAGGTGGCCGGCCCCGCAGGGCGGGCGGGGATGGGGGGGCGCTGCGGCAGCCGCGGAGGCGGGGAGGGAGGGGCCGGGTGGCTTACCCTGCGGGGCCCTGGAGGCCGCGACTCCATGGCCCGGGTCAGCAGACCCAGGCGGGGGCCGAGCCTGGCCGGCCGGGCGGCCCGGGGACGCGGCGCTCGTTGCCCGGGCGGCTCGGGGCTGTGAGGCCCGGCTGGTTAGGAGGAGGGGAGGCGGCGCCGGGCGGTCCGGAGCCCGCCCCGGAGGCGGGGCTGAGGGCGGGCCGGGACCGGGGGCGGGGACAGGGCACAGGCGAAGGCAGCCCAGGGGGCTCCGGCGGAGAAAGCTGGGGACGGCGGCCAGACACTGCTTCCAGGGAAGGCCTTGTTCCGGCTAGGGGCCTCTCGGTCAAGCGGCAGGGGCACTGACCCGATGACCTCGGCTACCAGCACTTGGGTTCCTTCCTGGGTCCCCAGGGACCGCCCCAGTCCTGGGCATGACCGTGTTGTCTAGTTCAGACATCTCTCTGTCCTTTCTTTCAACCCTTCCTCCCTGCTCCGTGCTCCTCTGCTCTGCTGACAGACAGCTTTTTCTAAACAACCCTTTCCCAGTTTTCTCGGCGCACAGCTCCTGCGACCCCGCCCTTAACAAGTCGCTTCTCTCACATGGGTTGGAAACCAAGCCCGGGTACCCAAGATTCTTAGCGACTTCTCTGGTTGGTGCAGTCGCTGCCTGAGCAGAAGCGCCCTCAGAGTTGTGGACGTCGCCACTTAACCTCTTCCAACCTCATCTTCTGGGTTCTTCACCTGCCCTAGCACCAGGTTCTCAGAGCTGCGCTTCGTGCAATTGCTGCCCTCTGGTGGCCAAGTGCGACAGCACCGAGAAGGCCAAAGAATCCCCACAGCCAGGACGCCTCATTTTTCCTTGGACAAGGCCTCTGTCGCTGGGTCTCTTAGCTCCTACCTCACCCAGAACAGAGCCCAGTGCAGCGACCAGACCAGAGAGATAAGTGAAGTTGGGTGCTGATTTGAGAAGGGTCAACTTTGGGAGACAGTGACGGATGTCCAGTAGCAAAGGCAAACAGTGTATTGAACAGAGAGAGAATGAGGGAAGACAATAACGCAAAATAGCTGAGAGGCAGGACTACCCGTGCAGGAGAGAGAAAGGGAGGGAGGTACTAATTCACACACACACACACACACACACACACACACACACACACACGCACACACACACACACACAGAGAGAGAGAGAGAGAGAGAGAGAGAGAGAGACAGAGACAGAGAGAGAGACAGAGAGAGAGAGAAAGACTCAGCCATAATTCCACCACCTACTGTCGACTGAGCCCTTGGAATGTGTCAGCTCTGCTCTGGGCTCTTTGCTTGGCTTATCTCATTTAATCACCACAACCGCGATTTGAAGTGAGTACTATTATTATCGTTACTGTGTGGATGAAGGAACTGAGGTTTAGAGAGGTTAGGTAATTTGCCCAAGGTCATAAGCTAGTTAGTGGCTGAACTGGGGTTTGAATTTAAACCTGGGCAGCCTGACTGCAAAGCCATGGACTTAGCTGCTACGCAGTCCTTCCCAAGGCCCGTGAGCAGCCTTTCCGCAGTCCTCATTCCTCATGCAGCAGCCTGCCATTCCCCTTGCTCTCCACCTCTCTCTCCTTCCTGTTCCCACTACCCAATTCAGCTTATTTTCTAAGGGCTGCGGCCTTGGTCTTCCTATCTTCCCTTTCTTTCCCTTAAATACCAGTAGCAGTAAGTAGCAACCAGGCAGCAAAACTTTGATCAAACATTAAATCTGTGCTAGGCATCCCGATTTTGTGATAGTACATGCAGCCTTGTAGATTTAGTACTGTTCTGCTCCCCACGCATGCGTATTTGTTGGGCTATCTGACTGTTGTTTTGAAATCTGTCCTTGAACTTGTGAGCTCCCTTAGGTAGACCGGGCTGGCCTCAAACTCACAGAGATCCACCTGCCTATGTCTCCCTAGTGCTGGAATTAAAGGCGTGCGCCACCACCACCTGCTGCCATGCCTCACCAGTATCTCCTTTATAGCTGGT